GATTTTTGCATTTTTTGCGTAAATTTTAAAAGTGTTTAAAAGCGTTTTAAAGGCCTCCGTTTTAAAATTTTAAATTTTAAAGGCCTTGTGTTCCGATTAATTTCCAAAAAATGTTAAGAATTCCGTCCAAATTCCAAATTGGAATTGGACAAAAATTGGAATTCCAAGAAAAGAAATTCCGATTGGCACCAATACCCCGGACGCCCTTGCAGCGCCGCCGGCGGACAGCAAGGTCGGTGCCGGGCGCCGGGCGCCGCTCGCCGGCCCTGCGGACGGCTGGAGGTGAGCGGCCGCTCCGTCCGGTCACCGCGCGGCGCCGGCGGCGGCGGCCGGTCGGCCGGACCCGGTGACCCCGCGGCGGCGGCCAGCCGTGCACGCGCACCGACCGCCACCGCTGTGCGCCCCCAGCGGCGGGGTTATCCAGAGGGCAGGCGGCGGGCGATCTCTGCACTGGGTGTGGGCGGGCGCAGCGGCCCAGTCACCGCTGAGGAGGTGGCCCGGGAGCTGGGATGGTGCCATGATCAGAATAGCAATAGGAAGGATGAAGGTAGCAGAAGCGGACTAACCGAGTACCTACCGACCGATCACATGCCGATTTCGTGTGGTGAATTGCGTACTAACCTATACCATGGATGAGATAATAATGGATTGGTGTCTTCGCAGTTTTTGGCGACATTGAGCTCAGGCCTGCCATCTAGCGGGAGAATTGTCGTAAGTTAGGAGCAAGCCGAGTGAACGCCGCTGATTAGCATTGTGACACACGGGAGTGTGGTATAGTAGCAGGCTTGTTGTGCAATTTTTCAAAAGGTTATGTCTTTATATGTCAGTAAAAGCGAAGAAATTAATAGATTTATGTGCAGGGTCAGTAATAAGATAAGCAGTTCCATGTTATTTCCTCATTAAATCGTGAAACAGGGAGTTATTGGAGACTTCGCCAGCACGTGTCGTTTTCGCTATTTTTCACATGAGTATTTACTTGGCCTAAATCAAACAAATTGTCCGATCAAAGAACAAAACGAACGTAAGTACTATTTATAAGTCTAATGAAAAACTTAAACAGAATTGCTAACGTCATTGCCGCTCAATATGTCATTCAAGACGCTCTATGAAAAGGACCCAACCGGTGGTGCGTAGTCGATGAAATTTCAGTAACTTTGGCTCCAACTCCGATTCCGGTATCCAAATATCGACTCCGACTCCTCCGGGCAGAACTGTCAATTCACACAGACTCCGACTCTGACTCCGACTCTGCAGCCCTGGTAAGTCTGTGGAGTGATGACTTTTCGGTGACGTTCGACTCATGCTCGGGCTACAGCTTTTAAAAATCAACCGACTCCGAGTCGGAACAGAACCGCTGGCTCTGACTACAACTTCGCAGCCCTGGCCCAAGGTAGCCGCCTAAAACAGCTTTTATGTGTGATCTTCTCCGTACATTGTTAATGTTATTTTAAACAAGGGGCGGAAAAGGGAGACGAAGCCTTCGCAAACAAGGATCTCCTGTTGCGAATCAATCAGCTGCTGGAAAAGAAAGGCATAAACACCACGCATCTCATTTCATCGTATTCCTAACAGCTCTGCACCAATGTAAGCACTGATCAATGCAGTGCGAGGATCGATGTGACATTTGTGTACCAAGTTTGAGTGTTATCCGCCCAGCCGTTCTTGAGATATGGAAGCGGCACCCCCCCCCCCCCACGTGCGCACGTGCAGTAGCACCCCCATAGTGACACATGGAAATGCATTGGCCACTGGGTGCCTAACTATTGACGAAATTTTACTGTAATTGGCCCAGCCATTGCGGAGTTACTTTATGTGGAGCAATTTCGACACCCCTAAGTTGGCACGTGACACGTGCCGTAACATTAACTAAGATGAAGAAAATCGGGCGAAATTCGGAGAAGAAGGAATAAGCCTACCGAATATGTAAGTGACATATTGTCAAACTGCTGTACCATTGTGAGTAAATGACCATATAAAAGGTCGTACAAGCCGATGGGACTGGGCGTTTCAATACACACCGTCTTACGCATTTTATTTTCGTTATTACCTAAAGGCTGCTTGACGTTTTTGGCTTTCAAGCACTTTAAGAAGTTTTTTGTCGTCTCAGGTCCAGTTAGATTACCTCCAACTCGTGGGAATATGCACTTCAAGCCAACTAACACACCACACCCACGTGTGTCATAATGCTGAGAGATGGCGTTCACTCGGCTTGCTCCTAACTTACGATAATTCTCTCGCTAGATGGCAGGCCTGATCCCAATGTCGCGGATCCCAATGCTAATTTCCACGAGACACCAATCCAGTGTTATATCATCCATGCCTATACAATTGACTGTCCTGTTCGAGGTTGGTTGAGGAAAACAAAGAAACGGGAGACACGGAACAATTTTAACGACAAAGGGGAGGCTTGTTAAAAATGAAAATAGGGAAACCAGACTAGAAGCAAAACAATGGTGGAAAAGTGTATCAACATGCTTTCCATGAAAAGGTAGCGATTGTGACAGCTGGAGCAACGTATTCAATTACCGAACTTTCTAGCAGGTTCCAATCGCTGAGTATGAGCCAGGAAAAAAAGGACTTTGCTATCAAAATCTTATCTCGATAAAGTCGTGGACCTTCGTGTGTCTACAGTGCACACCTTAAACACATTGATTTAAAAGGGACGATATGCATAAAAAATCAACACAATTTGACCGCAGCTCCTCAATCTGAAGCATTTCAGATATCGACAAAGGCAGTTCAGATTTTCAAAAATCATATATCCTAAAGCGCTAACTCCATACTAAAATTTAGGAAAGAATGCAATAAATTGACAATGGTAATAATGGTCGGTGGTGGTAAGAACAAGATAAGCTTGAATTTCCCGCAGCTTGAAACGCTATATTTTAAAGGAAATAGTTCACTTTTTAACATGGGTTTTGAACTGGAATAGCAGTTCCGTAGCCTGGGCTGAGACGAGCATAAATCAGGAGCTTTTACAGCCCAACGATCACCCTAGGCAAAGATATTCTATTTCTCGTCCCGAAAAAGGTGTCTTGCGTTGAGGATTTGTGCCTTGCATATATTTGCATCCAGTATGAAAAGAGCATGGGTACCGAAAATTCTTCAGAAACTAGAGAAATTATCTACGAGAACTCTAGAGAAATTCTCGTACTGATCAATAAGAACATTCAGCAGCAGCAGATCGCCCAAATGCCGGTGGCCGCGATCATTTCTCTAGTTTCTGAAGAATTTTCGGGACCCATGCTCTTTTCATACTGGATCGCCTGTGCCTTACAGAAACTGAAAAGTTCTTCTTATATCAAAATATAGAAAATAATCTTTTGTTATAAATAGGTTTTATTTTCTTTGCTGATCATTTTGAACATAAAAAATCATAAATCCATTGCAAAAAAAATAATTTCGTGAAAGTGAACTATTTCCTTTAAGCTTCTTTGCTTATTTTGTCGATAACACTGCCTTTAATTTTACCAAAATGTATTTCAAGTTTTTTTTTAGATTTGGTGAATGTAGAACAAGCAATGAATGGTGAAAGAACAATTATGTGGCACAATAACTCAAATTTTAGCAGTGATTTTAAATGTTGATTTTCAATTGAGGAAATGTTTGAACACTTTGCACCACGGAACAGCACATAGCATCCATAAAATATGCAGAAACAAGACGACAGTTGGTCATTTAAATGCCGTTAAACGTTGATTACCGGTACCAAAAATTCGAACACCTTCCAGGGGCCGTATTCACGTCTATCATTTTCGTAAGAATTTTCTTAAGTTTGACCTACTTCTTAAGTAAATTTTTTAATCACGTGAACTCCGTCGATAAAAACTTGAGAAGTGTCGACGTGAATACCAAATTATACTTACGAAAGAAAATCGACTTACGAAGTCGACGTGAATACGGCCCCAGGTCACTGCAACAAAAGAAATCAGCTTCATGAGCATTCCCACTTCCCAGTCCTCTGTCACCTGCCGACCTAACCCTTATGACACCACCGCCTACGGAAGTTCAACGAACGAACCGTGACCGTTTCCTTTCCGCCCGACCCCTGCGCGGACCCAACGACCCCGGCAACAGAGCCAGACTCATGGCCGGCCACCGACGAGCGCCGATCGCGGCCCGGACGAGTCCATTGTCGTTGGTAAGCCACCAGCGTCTGAGCCGACGGAAGAGTCCATTATGAGTCGGGGAGCAGGCGCGCGCGCCGGTCCCCACCTGGGTGCAGGAGTTGCCGGTGCGGAGACCCGAGCGACAGGTGGCGCTACCACCGGCGGACTCGGCAGGCGCAGGCAGGCGCGGAGGAGAGAGGAAGAGAGGGCGACAGAGGCGGCATCTGGGGCTGGCGAGAGCGAGAAACCAGCGACGCCAAACGGGACCGAGCAGGGACGATTTAGGGACAAACAAAGTCTATAACAATAGGTTCATGAAATACTGATGAAATGAGTATCATGATGAAACAATATGCCTGAAGATAACACTTGCGTGCAGCACAGTGATCCCTGCACTTCAATGTCATTTTGCTCCCAAAAACGATACAGATAAACCAAATGGCGTTCGTCGGCAAGCACGAACACTGAATAGCAGAATTAAAATACATAATAACTAGACACGCCGTCGACCGCATCAAGTGCTTCGCGAAATTCCGATTCCGTCCGTCCGCGTCATATGGTTCAAGTTCCTCGAAAAAAGAGCCTCGCAGCTGATGAGCGTCAAACCTAAGTCTCGTCTATCCCACACATCAAAATCCCTGGACAGTCGACGGTGCCGGTCAGAGCAGACAGACAACGGACCTGAGCCGAGGAGAAGAAACCATCCTGTCGGAGGCAGCATGTCCGACGTCCGTATCATCCTCCCATAACCTGTTCCCGCCCTCCCCAACAGACTGAACAGTTTCGACAGAAGCCCTGTGGACCTCCCTGGAGCACTGTGGACTTCCCCGGAAGACTGTGGACCTCCCCGGAGGACTGTGGACCTCCCTGAGCCCGTTTCTGTGCACTTACCGCCACCGAGGAGCCGGCCTCCTCCATCCTGCGCTGCTGCAGTCGCTCCCGCTCCAGCTCCTTGAACTGGGGACACATGGCGCCGGGATGTGGTCAGCAAACAGCTACGGGTCTCAGCGTCTGAGCTTTTTATTTGTTATGAGGCTTGCACTAAAATAAAAAGATTTAAGCTCAGTCAACAGTCGTTTGACGTTATTAACCCCAAAAGGCACGTGAACGAAAGCACACATGCAATCCATATAGAAAGTCTCTTCAACACATTTTATCCAAACCCCAACAGAGCGCAGAGGACCCACCATTTGCACTCCTTCCTCGATGGTGCGCCCGGACGACATCTGTTGGCGGTAGATGGAACCCGAAGGTGCGTAATGTGACGATGGTGGCAGCAGCACCGGGCCGGCAGTTCCCGCCAGCGTGCGGCCGCCCTGGAAAAGCAGCGATAGCTGCAATTAGCAACGCAGAAACGAAACACAGGGTATGTGGCGGCAGGTGGGCCAATACGATCGGGGCAGCTGCACCACACACCCGATCGGCGATCAATGCTATTGCGCTCCACAAGGAACGCTCCACGAGCGGCTGAGAATATCGCTGCTACGTCGGCGTTGCTGATAATTTTCTGGGGTCGGTAGAATCACCATACGCAGCTGCGGAGTGCAGGCTTAAGTGATAAATCTGGAGCTTTGTTACCTAAGTGCTGCACATTCATCAGTGGAGGTAACGGAAACAAAATATTCCAAGCCCGACAGCGCATGATATCTTTCCTCATCTAGCTAAACTTCTGATAACTTTTTGCTAGTTACCCACAGTCAACTATCGGCCGCAAGCGGTCAGAAGTTGAAAGTAGTTGAATCCTATCATCATAAATACCATCTTAGAAGAACCAGCCAGTCATTAATCTGCGTCGATTACCTCAGCTTGAATCATGGGAAAAGGAAACAAGAAACATTTATTTTAGAAAGTTTCAATACTTTATGGTACGAGTATACGAGTATTTGCTGCGTAGGTAGCAGCTACAACGGACCAGACCTGCAGGAAGACCAAAATGACTCGTAGCTTAGTAACAGCCAACGTTTTGTCCTGTCACTTTACACTAACGAAATACACTGTACCAGGCACCCGGTCATCCCGCTCGGAAGCCTCGATGGCCAGCCCATCCTACCTTGGTCCGTCCCAGCTTGGGGAAGTTGTGGTGCCGGTTGATTTTGAGCGTGCGGAACAGCCGGCCGAGGCGGCCCCGCTTTTTGCCGTTGGCGGCACCCAGGGTAGCGCCAGCCGGTAGGGCAGCGCGCCGAGCGTCCCCGTCTGCCGGGGGGAGGGGCAGAGGGGTCAGACAGAACCGACAGAGGTCACTGCGGGCAACAAAGGTCACAGGGAGAAGACCGAGAGGCCATATATGGACGACCGAACGGTCATACAGGTCGTTAAACGAGATGTCAAACTGGGTCAGCTCATGAACAGAACAGACAGAAAGGTTACACACTGCAGACAGAAGCACGTAGGTACGCGAAATGTGCATAGCAACAGACAACACAACGTCAACTTCATATGGGTTTCCACATAGAACGATAAACAAAAACTTAGGACGGAAAAGACCTACACGCTCGATACATGTATAACCAATGCATGTATCATAATGTATACCCAATGCATGTCGACCGGATGTCCATCCGGTCGACGACTGAATGGACGGGGGACCAGTAGCGAGCAGGGGAGTGGTGGGGGCCGTGGGGGACTCACCGGAGCCGTCCTGCGGTACTGCGTAGGCCGGTGAGCGCGACCGGGACCTGCGGCACACAGCGGAAATGGCTCACTCGCCGAGCGACCGACCGGCACGACCGACGGTCGGCAGACGATCGCCCTCGAATGGGGACCGTCAGCGGACCGGCGGCCGACGCAGCGACACTCAGCACCTCATTGTCCATAATGGTGACATGGAGGGATCGCTGGAGCCAATATATGTACACTGCGCGGTGTATTTGAAACTCGCAGTGTACTGAGACTTGAGAGTTTCAAAGGAAACTCCAAGAATTTTTGTGAGTAATAGCAGTGCCAGTAAAAAGCAGTTACATGTAACTCCCAAATGCATGTGATCATAAAGTAAGCATGTTGAATTGCATATAACTTAATATGAATGGCTAAAAGTGATCATCGCTAGATTCTAGATCACCAAAGGCGGAAGTAAATACCAATGAAATTGAATAAACATTAAAGGGACTATCCCACCTTCTAAAATGTTGTTAAAACCAGTTAAATTGTGCCCGACTTTATAGATTGGATGACCAGGAACACGGTTCTGGCATTTATTTTTCATTAAACATCTTAGGCTTCCCATATTCCAAACACAAACTTTCAAATATGTGACGTCACAGCCCAAAATTACCTCCTTCCCCAGGCCACATTACTGTCATAAAGCTGATTCTTTTTACTCTGAAGGCACCACAACAAAGTTAAGACCAAGTTTTAAGCGATTTTTCAACGAACAAACCCATTTAAATCAGGATGACTAAACGAGGTGACGTCACACTAACGGTCGCTCCATGTTGAAGATAGGGCCTTGTACAAGGCCCATTTTCAAATGAAGGGAACGAATTTCTTCAACACCAAGAGGCCGCGGGGGTTGCAACCTAGATAGATAGTGGTTTCTGAACCTCGCCGCAAACTTGGCTATCTCAACTCAAACCCCATGTTAAAGGTGGGATAGTCCCTTTAAAAAACTGGCATTACATCTTAAACCACCTGAGTCACTTGCACAAGCCCACCAAACAACCAAACCACCGAGCGGCCAGCGACAGCGAGCCTGTACTTCCCGCGCCCACCGTGCACTCACCCCTGCCTGCGGCTGTGCTGCGACTCCACCGCGCGGGGGTCGTACAGGCCGTACCCGAAGCCGTAGATCTCATCCTCGTCATTGTCGCTGAGGCAGCTGGATGGCTGTAAAAGAGGAGCCACGCCCGGTCAGACAGTGTCGGCGAGGAGGGCGGAAAAGAGGGAAAGGATTACAGTCGTATGCAACAATTGCGAATAACAGATTTCGACAGAACCTAAAATGACGCACTTAGTCAGACGACCGAACAATCGTAGACAATCAATACCGTGTTATGACTGCTAAAATAAGCAAACTTCCGGTGATATCACATCGTAACGGAATGCCCAATCATTGGGCATCAGTCGTCATTGGGCCCTAATGACGCCATGGCGCGCTATCATATCACTCGACATTACGCCACCTCCGGCTGATGTCACCAAGGGACTGTGGGAGTTGGGACCAAGAGGCTAATCCCGTGGCTCCACTTAATGGAAACCCCTTCAATATCGAGCGAACACTGCTCAGTATACACCATCTGTGTAGGTCTGCCAGCGCGGACCTACGCGCTGACAGACCTACTGCTCTATGTCAGCGCGGATAGAGCTGACAATCGGTCAGATCATAGCCGACGACAGGGTCAATTACGCGGAAACTCGGGCGGCCAGTAGTTCCACTTTTCCCGGTGGCCGCAGCCCAAACAAGGAAGATGACGTGTAAACGTGCTGAAAACGTGACTTTTGCAGGTAATGTGCCGATTTACAATGCCCGGATTTAGAAGAAATGTAAAACATACGTCTGTAACACCTAAAAGGAAATAATTAAACGATAACGGTGTTTCACACTCGATGAACACAACACCGAAAACAAACGAAGTCATCAATAAACCGAGCTAGAAAAGCATCACGTGCTAACAGGACAAGTCAATCATTTAAAATTCAGTTCATTGGGACTGGCTTATCTGTTTGCATTTTAAGTAAATATTAATCTGAAACTAAAATATGCCATTGAAAAATATGAATTTGACACGAATTTCAACGATACACGCACTTTAGTTGCCGTTCGGTTGGAGTCGTCTTTGCGTTGCCAAGAGCCAGGTCATATAAAAAAAATCTAGTCACGAACCGGCGCCAAGTACCATTTCTTATTTTTGCACAGATAGTCGGATCGGAGCCAGAGCCGAAATACCCAACCAGAGCTGGACCCGTTCATTCTTTTTCCGGCTCCACATTACTGGTAGAGGTGAGAGCCTAGTATATACTGAGGTAGAGTCATCACTGCTCCTCAGTTATCAGTATCACTGCTGATTGTTCGATCATTGTCCGTCCAACAACCACCAATGGCACAATCCCTTTGCAAAGCCACTTGCAAGGGAAGCATGTATCAGCTTATAGATAAAGGACTAACTGAAGCACTTCCGTTATTCATCACGTGTGTCAGTCTTCCATCGATCTTTCCCACCTGCCCCCACCCGCCCTCCACCATTGGTCGTCGCCAGAGTGTTAAATACACAAAACGACACACGCTGGCAGATTCCTAGCGATAGCTTTCCCAGTACACTATCAGCACTAGTGTTCCGGTTGTGACCCTTCCCTTCCCCACGGCTGGACCGAGCCCCCCCCCCCCGCACCGCCCCACGGGTCACGTCATATCGGGCCGCCATCTGCCGACGCCGTCACGCGACGGTTTCCTTTGCGCCGGGCGGTGACGATATGTATTAACCCGGTGAGGGTCGTCGGTGCCGGTGGACAGCGATGACACCAAATGGACCCATATCACACATGGCGACAAACAAATGAGAAGCAAAGTGTAGATTGCAGACTGCAGAGCAGTAGGCTTGGCACTAAATTCTAAAATGACAAAAAAACTCCAGAATTGCGATTGACCTGAGAACTCACCAAGTACTGGCCTGGCTGGTAGATGGGCTGAACGGACTGAGTCAGGTCTGGCTGCTGCTGCTGCTGCTGAACTGGGGGCGGTGGAGGCGCGAGGGTCGGTGGAGAGCCAGGTCCGGACCTGCCGTCGCCCTCCATCACCTGCTGCCACGCCTGCTGCCGCAGCACATCCAGCTGCTGAAGAACATCCTGGTAGTGGGTCTGAACATCATCTGCATAGCGAGATGCCAGACCATTCAGGTAGCCAGTCCTGCCATCCTGAAATCAGATGGAAAGGCACTCGTCAGTTAAAAGGATACAACACTTTGCAATGAAGGATCAAAGGAGCATGAGCTAAAATATGAAACAAAGCCTAGTTGAATTGTGAGTAAAAAAGGTAATACATCATTTAAGATGCTAAAACAAAAGTTTTGCATAGCACAATTACCTACTCATGTTTCTGAAAACAACACAAACAAAAGTCACAACTAGGAATCATATTGCCCACCTTTGTAGAGTATGGTGAATTGTAAAGCTTGATGCCATCAATAACCAATTTATTCTGAAGCATCTGCCTCAATTTCTGAGCAGGCAGTCTCTTCAGCTCTGGCAATGGAGTCTTTGGTTCTGGTGGACTGCTGCATGTGCTCATGCTCTCAGAGTTTGATGTACAGAAATGACATGCTTTTTGAGGAATATACTTGGATGCATGAGAGGGAGGTATTCTCATTGCCTTCTCAATACCACATTTACACTCTCCAGACTTCAACACTTCTTCAACTGTAAAATAAACTGCAGTTGCTCCCTCTTCTCTCAGCTTCCTAACTGCTTCCAAGATTTTAAATCGATGAGTTGGATTGAATACACCCACAGCATCAAGATCCTGTTCACCAATCTGCTTACAAATTTCAAGCTCATCATATCCATTGTCCAAAAATGATTCAGAATACTGGCCAAGGAATAGCGTCCTCAACCAGTTCTCAACAGTTGGCCGATCCATGATTTTCACCAATCTAACAACTACCTTCAAAGCGCAACATGTGTTGTAATTCTTCCGATAGATAGCTCTCTGGTAACTCGATCCACACAGCCCAAATAGCTGAAAAACGACAAACTGGTGCTTCCATTAGGTAGGGACCGTCACAACTTGCAGTGGGCATTGGACCCGGTCCAGGTCCGTTTCAGTTTCCTTGAAACATGGAACCCCCAATTTTGATATTCCTGTCCTTTCTCTGCAAACATGGAGAAATGGAGACTTCAGACAACTTGGCTGTGCGATTATTGAATGATCTAAAAGGGATAACACCGAAAATATCACAAGCAATTTAACTAGAAACTCGAATAACTGCGAATTCTCTTTGCAACACTTTGCATTTGCAACACCAAGCGGCAAAATAGACAAACGTAGCGCATCCAAATCACAACAATGCAGTGATCAACAATCTGGAATTAAATGACGTAAGATATATTTTTTTGTTAACAGTTGATATCAAAACGTGAGTTTTATTGCACAAAATGAGCAAATAATTTAGAACTTATTATTTTTTTTTTCAAAAAAAGTAAATACACCTAAACTAGATGTAAATATTGTAAAATGTTGTTAAATCGTCAATTTGGAAACGGTGTCGTACCGGTAACAACTGTTGATCCTTGTCCTTGATACATTTGCCGTCTGCCGAACATCCGCCCAAAAGTGTTTGGCGGCGGTCGTGTGATTGGTCGTGTACCAAAATTCATAATTTATTATTGAAAATACTTACCGTCGAGTCCACTACTATAGGTGCTTTTCACATGTGTTCATATCTGCATTAGATGACATTCGATTTGATGTCTGATACCGTCTGATACATCATCTGGTACTTTGTCAACGACTACCTGACCTACCGTTTGCGTTTTCAAAGGGGGCTGCCTCTCTATCTATTCTAAATGCTATTTTAAATGGCAATGAGCAGGGACAGGTTACTGCGTTATAAAATTGGAGTGTAAAATTCGATGTTGTCCTGATAAATCATGTTGTTGGGCTGCCCAAACTGTGTTTGTAAACATCAGAAAGTAATTGCAAATGATGATGACGGCCCTACTTTTACGAATCCCCCTAGGTCAAGGAGATTATGTAAAATTTAACTGCATATCTCTAATCATTGCCAACAAAGTTGCAACTTTGATGTAATTAATTGCACTCATTGACTGTGTTACATTCACATATCATCAGCCCCAGCCTGCATTTGCAAAGCTATATCATATCAATGCAACAAAGGCCCAGTTTAAATGTGTTAGTAGTCTCTCAAAATCTAACTTTTATTATGGGAATATCAATATTGAATTTATAGGAATGATAATGCAGGCATCACAAGACAAAAGAGGCTGTTTTGATGATATACTTACTCTTAGATAAGATATAGATGTGGTCAATTTAATAGGCTTCAAAAATCAAAGATATCTTGTCTTGAACTTGAACTATTTATGAACTTTTCAACCAATTGTTGAGATGTTCAGTGATACTGATGAGCAAGGTGGTAGGAACTAGGAATAGGAACCATTAATCATATATTTTTGTTTGTAATTGTAATGTGCAATTTGCAAGCCACTGATGTTCGTTCACATGGAATGCTTTCATCAACAGGTTATCACTAACTAGGTAGGTAGGTATTCAAGGATTGGCTGTGACCTGTGCAACCTGAACTCTGAAATATAGGCACCAAATTGTTTTAGCAGGTAAATTGGATAAATTTATAGGAGAAGTAATGATGTGAGGAAGGATAATTACCTACTGGAAGAGTACTTGAAACATAAGTTAAAGAATGAAAAGAGAGCTGGTTAAATTCTTATAGACCATGTGAGCTAGCAATTCATGATTCATATGGGCTTTCTCGATATAAAATTAAGCTTCTTGTGTGGGTAGGTACTTGAATGTAGCACTTAGCAGAACTGTTATAGAACTATGGTGTGTATTTCATTCACAACACATACACATTGCATAAACACAAAGTTGCAAAATCATGTCACCTTAACATGTTGTTTCTTTCAGATTCCACCAGAGACATTACTAAATGCATCACCTGTTATGCTTTTTGAAAATAATTGAAACAGTCTCAATAGAAGCCTTTCAAGACAGATAGTGTTTGACATATCACTGAGACTCTGTTTAGTTCTAGATTTGTAAGCCTGTGTCCTGTAAAGGCTCTCAGCCACCCCATTGGGAATGAAGATGGCATCTCTTCTGTCAGCTGAGGAGGAGGAGGTAGGTTTAAGAGCAGTCACTGAATGGTAGCTGTTGAGAGGAAGTCTTCAACAAGGAGGCTTCCTGTCTCCCTGTGAATGAAAGGCTTCCTGTCTCCAGAATGCCTTTCTTCAGATAAACAATAATTCATGAAGTGCTTGATATTTTTGTGTGTGTGTGAACAGCCCAATGTGTCTCATAGTTTATTATCTTTTGGGTTTGACTCAATGATCTGATCATAGGAGATGATTATTTAGGTAATTTTTATTCATTCTCTCTGTCTCTGCATCGCTTTACAACTTATTAAATTGTGTAGGTACTCCCGCAAAGGCGTCATTTTCCTCCGGAGGTCGTTTGATTGAATGTATACTGTTCGGCTCTTTTTCGGCTCCGTCCATGGCCACTTCTACCACTGACACTCTCATGTGTCTATATTGTCTTCAGGCGACCCAGAAGTTCCTGGAGATCGTGAACAAGGCCCGCGCCAGAAAGAATGCCGGCCCCATCACGTGGAAGACTGCCGTGAAATTCCTGATGGCCCGGAAGTTCGATGTTGACCGGTATGTAGCAACAATGTCGTTATCGGAAGGGAGAATCGAAAGTGTGTTTGATGATATAAATTTGTAAAATATCTCGCTGCTTTAGAGTCCAATATGACTGATCTATTTTTTTTATACTCAAGCTTCACTACAAGGAGGTTGGCATTGCAATCACATCCAAATGCAGATGAAAATGCAAACGTTTGGTTGGATACTTGTTGCCTTAATTCGGGGCTACACCAATGTTGTTGGATTGCATTTGTTCGTATGATGTTAGACTACTCTGTTTTTTTGCATTTCATTTCAGCATTTCCGATGTGTCAGCACTGCCAATGACAGTATGACGTTAACGTGACGAATGGCGACCGTTTGACGCTCTGATAAGTGATACCTAACGTGCACGGGTCTTTTCTTACCCACACAGGGCGCTAACGCTTTACGAGCAGCACGAGCGAACAAGACTCATGGAGAATCTCACCGATTTCCGGCCGCACGAGAACCCTCTCAAGAGCGAGCTGGAAATGGGCAAATTCACGCTACTGGTGAGTGACGCTGGCGGTGTGGAACCCATTGGCTTTAATGTGTGAATGCTTATTCATTCGTTAAACTCGCGGTTTAATTTCACAGTAGCTAACACACTGGCCACCTTGACCGCTGTGCGATGACGCTGGCTGTTATTTGAACTTTGAGTTGATTATGAGCCTACAATGGTCTTTTAAACGTGCTTCCTTATTCCTTTGCTTTTGTATAGCTTTTGCAGCCTAAGCCATGATCTTCTGTCTGACCAATCATGATGGCAGACCGCGGCAGCTAATCCCAGTATTTAACCTCAGTCTGATCATGACTGGGCGGTGTGAGTTGTGACGCAGTTTGACGGCGGTACACATGGAGGTCCCCGCTTCAAAATTAGTTAATCCCTATAATATAGACATCATTCTATAGAGAAACTCATGTTTAGTAAGAATAATGTGGTTTCCAGTTATCTGATCGATAATTTTAAGACCAAAAGCTAACTAATCGTATTCTTACCACGATCTCGGTGGAGCCGCACGACGGTCTGTTGTCAACATGTCAATTGTTGTTAAATACCATTACGCAGAAATGTAGTATCTTCATAAAACCCAACACACTAGGGGAACTGTGGGAAACCGGGGTTTTGGGTGGGGGGGGGGGGTACTATTTTTATGAAAAAGTGATAGATATACACAAATAATTTTGGAATTACGGTTCTGTATTTTTAATTTTTAATAGAAGAGAATTCGGTAATTTTCTTTTTCGGTAAAGCGCCTCACGAGATGCGCCAGATCTGTCGACGAATGATAGCGACTTTTCTGAAAAAGTCTTCAGAAATGTTTCGTTCGTAAATATTTTCGTTCGTGCATTTTCTTTATTTTCGTTTTTTGGTCCGTGCATTTTTTTGTCTGTACATATTTTCATTCTTCGTCCAACATTTCTTCGCCTGTACTGTACATGTTTTCGTCTGTGGCCAACTCGTGGCGAAGCAGTGCAGTGCCGAAGGCAATGCCTTAGGAGAGATTACAGGCAATAGTAAATCAAATATTTTTAGGTTAAATGGTTATGTATCTGGCTTCAGGCCGAAGGCCTGAAGCCTGATGCATGACCACTTAACCTGAAAATATTTGATTTACTATTGCCTGCAATCTATTCCTGCAAGTAACTATTTCCTTATCCGGTAGGCGAAAATCAGTAGGTTAGGTTAGGTTAGGTTAGGTTAGGTTAGGATTCCCGGTAGGCAAGAATCAGTAGGTTAGGTTAGGTTAGGTTAGGTTAGGTTTCTTAATGCCTGGTAGGCAAAAATCAGTAGGTTAGGTTAGGTTAGGTTAGGTTAGGTTAGGTTAGGTTAGGATTCCCGGTAGGCAAGAATCAGTAGGTTAGGTTAGGTTAGGTTAGGTTAGGTTTCTTTATGCCTGGTAGGCAAAATCAGTAGGTTAGGTTAGGATTCTTTAAGCTCGGTAGGCAAAAATCAGTAGGTTAGGTTAGGTTAGGTTAGGTTAGGTTAGGTTAGGACACCTCTTTGAATTTCATCGAGTAATAATCGCTTTTCTCAAATTTAAAGTTGTCCGCGCTTTAGACATAACAATTTGAGAACCTTGGTATTGTTTGTCATTTCTGGCTGCGATAAAAAATTGTGCACGCGAAACGCATCTAATATTTTTGCAGCCTTGATTGTTTATAAATTGTGTTCATCCGCCGTAACCAGCATGGCGTCAGCGTCGGTTGCGAGGGGTGAGGTGTGTGGTGTTTTGGGGTCAATTTTGCCAGCTTTAAATGGTAAGCTGTTGCATTTTACTGGCAGGGAATGTTAGATAGTTGGATTATAGCATGTTGTGATACTAATTGGATTCATATAATTAAAACGAAAACGCTTGGGGACCTCCGTGTTTCCGACCAGTTTGACCGTGCCACCCCACAGTGACCTGTGTGACCCCACAGTGACCTTTGTGACCCAGTCTGACCTGGGTGACCCCAGTCTGACCCGTGTGACCCCACAGCGACATGTGTGACCCCAGTCTGACCCGTGCCCTGTGTGTGTCCGGCAGCCGGCGCGGGACAGCTGCGGCGCCTCGATAGCGCTGTTCACGGCCCGGCTTCACTTTCCGCACCTCTCCACACACAAGGACACACTGCAGGTCAGTGCCAGAGCGGGGCGGCCCGACCAGTGCCAGAGCGGGGCGGCCCGACCAGTGCCAGAGCGGGGCGGCCTGACCACTGCCAGAGCGGGGCGGCCCGACCAGTGCCCCGCTGCGCGCCGGCGACGGCGGGGAGCTATGTCCTCCCGGTGGGATCCATGGAGTACCAGCATGTCCCCGCACAGCCTATCTAATCACTAACCGACCTTACGCTGTGTTCCTTGTAGTGGGGATTTTCAGGTGGACGTTTTGAGTAAACAGTTTGCCTGTCTTTCTCTCGACCTCCATCCGACCGTAGGCTGCTTTGCTTGTGGTGGGACGTTGGTCGGTGGACGTTTTGGGTTCAAAGACCCACCCGACAGCGCCATCTGTAGTGTCCCCAGTGTCCTCATGTCCCAGCCGTCCATGGCAGCGACTGAGGTGTCCCGCGCCGACTCGGGAAGGCACAGGGGAGACCAGAGCCGTCGGTGCTGCGTGCCGCCTGTGTCGGGTGACGGCGAGGCAAGGTGGACCGCGTTGAGTGTCGACTCACTGGATGAAGTGAGCCGCCTCGGGAATGTCTCTGATGTAGGAGCGGTGCCGACGGGGTGGCGGCGTGCCTCCCCTCCCCTCCAACACCGGACATGCCACGGGGATGGGCGGAGGCGACCCTGCCGGATTCAGAGAAAGCCGTGCGTTGCCTCCTTGGTAACTTAGTTCTGGTTGCTGTTTTAGTCATGCAGCGGTGAGATTGTACTTTGTACTTCCTGACATGATATGTTTGCTGTGCATTCGAATGCTCCTTTATGTTTGGATAACGAAACATTGTGAAGGAATACGGACACAACATGATGTCCCAGTAGATGGATTGCGTACGTTGGATGAAGCCGTGTTGTGACACAGCTGGCTGTTATAGTTATATAGCAGCGCGAATTCCGCCCTTCACCTGTCACTGAAGTTAGGCCTAGCATCGCGCCTTCTCTCAGCTTCGCAACTTTACCAGCTTCCACTTCTACAGACTTAACATATATGGAACATTAACAGTGGTGAATAGTTATCTGGGGCCTCTTTTAATGCTCTTCACTCACGGAGCTGATTTTTCTTCCTCTGTCCGTGCTGTGGTTTGCACAATCCGAAGCTTATGACGTCTCCTGAGTTCACGGTCAGTGCATCTGGTTATGCGGCTTTGGTTATCTTGTGTGTGTTCTCGCTATGTTCAACATTATTTTGCAATGTTAAAAATAGGACTCAGGTATTTAGACATGCATCACAATGACGGCTAATGTTCTTTCTAAGGTTGAGGGTAACTAACTATGGCCGTGTGTACAACATGGCAGTAAGAAAGAATGCCACGGAACATGGGTAAAATGCTTTTAATCGTGACACGCTTTGTGGGAGAGGTTTCATACTTGTAGCGCCGTTTTCTTGCTTTTTTCGCTCCAGATGAGATCCACATGATACAAAAATAATACGTTGGTGTTAGTGGTTTGGTAGTCACGGATAACGCGGATTTGCAGCGCTTCTAAGGGCTCACCACCCGCCTTATCCTGCACCAACATCTCCCGCTGTAGCCCAGCCCGCTGGCTGTAAATGCACACCTGCGAACACAGCTGCACGCTTGTAAGTTGCAGCGTCTCTTTTCCCCGGATACAGAGCTCTGAATTTGCTTCAACGCTCACCCTAACGGATCAGATTTTCAGAGGAGTGATCCAATGGGTAGGCATGATGCTGTTTACGGAACGATGAAGTTTTATTTTCTCCTCGTTTGGTGTCGGCATATCGTGGTTTCGTTGCGTGGGACCCCTTGTTTCTCGAATAGCCGTTCTCCAGCTTCTGTCGTGGCGGACGCCGCTCGCTCTGAAGTGCCGAGCTGTCCGGTTCGGCACTCCCGATCGTTTGCGACCAGCAGCAAAGCGCTGTGATGGCCTGCGACCTGGACAGTGCACCGTTCCAGAGAATCGGGATCCGCGCTCAGTGAACATCAATTTGATTGTACCTATGCCTGCCGTTTTCTTCATAGCAGCGTGAGTTCAATTGTGAGCAGCTAAATTTGCGTTGAATGCTGGCCTCACCGTGACTCTCTGGAAAACACCTCAGCTAACAGCCGCCAGTCAGCGGAAGTGGGCGTATCGTCTTTAATCCAGTCTGGAAAATCACCACAGGCCTGCGCGGCGGAAGTATGACTGTGGAGTGTGGATTTAGCTGAGCATCCGGCTGACCATTCGGTACACATGTCCTGCCTCGTTACTGGAGTTTGCTTAAAGGGACTATCCGACCTTTAACATGGGGTTTGAGTTGAGATAGCCAAGTTTGCGGCGAGGTTCAGAAACCACTATCTATCTAGGTTGCAACCCCCGCGGCCTCTTGGTGTTGAAGAAATTCGTTCCCTTCATTTGAAAATGGGCCTTGTACAAGGCCCTATCTATGGAGCGACCGTTAGTGTGACGTCACCTCCTTTAGTCATTCTGATTTAAATGGGTTTGTTCGTTGAAAAATCGCTTAAAACTTGGTCTGAACTGTGTTGTGGTGCCTACAGAGTAAAAAGAATCAGCTTTATGACAGTAATGTGGCCTGGGGAAGGAGGTAATTTTGGGCTGTGACGTCACATATTTGAAAGTTTGTGTTTGGAATATGGGAAGCCTAAGATGTTAAATGAAAAATAAATGCCAGAACCGTGTTCCTAGTCATCCAATCTATAAAGTCGGGCACAATTTCACTGGTTTTAACAACATTTTAGAAGGTGGGATAGTCCCTTTAAGCGGCTCGACTAACTTGAGGTCGATGATAACACGAGTTGACTGCTAACAGTGACAGCATGAAGCGGGTGCGCTGTTTTCGTGAAATGTTCATCCCCCCCATTCATTCATTCAAACTCATTGCAGCTGCAGATCAACTTGACAGCAGGGGGCTAAGGCTACCATTTGTCCTTTATATCTATTAAATTTATTGCAGTGGAACAGCAGGAATGTAAAAAGAAGTGAAGATCAGTCTCTAAGCGCGGTATCCTGCAACCGGCCTAAGTCGATGCTGTTTTAACCTTTCCACTGGATGTACCGTATTCGCCGAACCCGGACGTCGACGCACCCCTCTGCTGCAAGTCCGGCGGCGCCGGGAGCGTGCCGACCTGAAGTCGAGGCGCGATCGAACTTTCCGCCGACGTTACCGCGTAGATCTGCGTCTCCGGTGGCGATCCGCTGCGCTCAGTCGGCGGATGACCTGTTCGATCGAACCTGGGGAAGCACCGAGCGATCGGGACCCGCCGCGGGGCGGTCGGTGCGGGGGTGGCCGGGGCCCGGACCGTGGCCGGTCTGTCGGTGATCGCCGGGCGGCTCCGCGCGGCCGTCGGAGCTGACGCCGTGCGGCGCGGCCGACGGAGCCGTGATGCCGCCCGGCTGTCGGGAGGCGGCCCTGACCCGCCGCTGACGCTGACGCTAGACGGAAGCGGTGGCCGCCGGAAATGGAGCTCTCTGGTGTGCAGCGCCCCGCCGCTCACCCCTGGGAGCCGGCCGCCGCGCTGTCGCAATGTAGCTCGGTGCCCGGTCAAATAACGGAATGCAGTTCATCTGTTTCCGCATTGTATAGTGGTGTTGTTTGAATGAATTACTGGCCTAAGTTCCAATTTTGAAACCTGCCCTTTCTATCAGCTCTTGACGTTCCACTTCTTCTGCCGCAGGGCATCGTGTACCAGCTGGACGTGGCGATGGAGAGCATCGACGCGCAGCGGAACGGACTCGTCTTCATCTACGACATGTCCGACTCGAAATACTCAAACTTCGACTACGACCTCAGTCAGAAGATCCTCACACTGTTGAAGGTAAGCGTTTTCCGACTACCACGCCCCTTGAAACCTCAACAAGCAAACAGGCAAACATTGCCTATTTTACTTTCATGTGAACTTCAATTGCAGTGAAACAATGAGACTATTTTCCAATGCTCTGCATACCTAGGCGGTCATTATAATTGGACGAGACCCAAAGGTCAGCTTCTAACGACGGTGCTGATCAAAAACACATTGACATTTTACAACGGAACAAACACGGCAACCGAAGTAATTCCCAGCCGTCGTGGAGTTACTAAGCGGAGCTCAGAAGGACAGGCTGGACAAACCGGCAGACCAACATGCGACGGACAGACTTACCGACCACTGTCCAACCAACCAACCAACCAACCAACCAACCAACCAACCAACCAACCAACCAACCAACCAACCAACCAACCAACCAACCAACCAACCAACCAACCAACCAACCAACCAACCAACCAACCAACCAGCCAACCAGCCAACCGAATACAGACGGACGGACGGACGATTGCAAACCGTCCCGTTGACACAATTGATCCCGTTCTTCCCCTCGGGCGGGGCTCCCGGCCTGGCCACGCCGACACCCACCGAGGCCTTGTCGCTGTGCCATTACTTCGGTACACTGTTCTGGACTGTCGGGTTTCCCCCAGTCCCCAGCGGCGCTGATTGGTGCGCTGGTCTGCTGGCGTTGTTACCGTGCGCAATCCGCGTTCCTAGGATGGCTGTGATGGGTGTGTGGGATGTGGGGACTGGGGAGGTGATCTGTGGGCGTGAGGTTGTGGGGACTGGGGAGGTGAACACATTTTTGTCGACCAGCAGGGAACAGCATTGCTTCTTTAAAAGGAATTCAACCAATTTATGCTTCGCAATTGCAGATCAAGGCTTTCACGACAAAAAAAAAAAATGTTTCCTTCTTCATTGGTTATTAATTTCTCAATGACACAATTCTCCTGTTTCCAAGGAACACACAGGCCCTCGGTCGGCATGGAGACAAACTCCAATGCCCAACATTTACGTCTCTTTTTGCGCGCTCGGGGTATATTCTGCGACTGTGTGCCGAGCGCCAGCGACCTATCGTGTCATCTCGCTCCCTCTGTACCGATCCCGGTCGCGACACGCTGTTGGCCGGTCAGCCACCCCGCCCGGTGCTATTCGCGTCTTGAATGCGTGCGTCTTGTGAGTTGTGCGTCTGAGTTGTGCGTCGTGTATGTTCACCGCCGGGCTAAGGTACGGCTCCCGAGTGCCGACTGGCCCAATGCGGTCAGATGTGGTGTGTTTTGGTGGGATGTGATGCAGGGCTGTGGAGTCGATGGATTTTCGGCAACTCCGACTCTGACTCCGACTCCAGCTTTCAAAAACCAACTCCGACTCCGACTCCGGGCAGAACTGTCGACTCCGACCGACTCCAACTCCCGACTCCGACTCCGCAGACCTGGCAGGGCTGCGGAGTCGACGGATTATCGGCGACTCCGACCCTGACTCCGGGTCGGGTTTCCAAAATCGACTCCGACTCCGACTTCAGTCACAACTGCCGACTCCGACCGACTCCGACTCCGACTCTGACTTCGGTCACAACTGCCGACTCCGACTCCGACTCCGCAGCCCTGATATGATGTATCCCCTGCTCCGTCTCGGGTTGTTCTGGGTGGAGCTCGGATGGTCTGGGATGGTTCTTAGCGGGCCTGGTCTGATGTCGGTGTCGATGGTGATGACAGTGGTGGTATGAATGGTACTGCATAAATAGACTGTATATTGAATGTGCATTGCACTATTTTCTTATCACGGAGGCCTTTGAATTACCTGACATTTTACAATGATCATCGATCAAACATAAGCTGGAATCGTCAATGGTGTTGAACTTCAAGAAACTTAAATGAGGGAATGGCACGGTCGACATTTCACGTATCATCACCGGCTCGGCGGCCATTAGGAGGCGGCGCGCGGCTCCAGCGCTGAGCGGCATTGTCGCTCTGTCGGCCACGAATAGACATGGGCTATTGATTACCTCCTCTGCGAAATAATGAATCACGTGCGGCCGTCTTCACGGAGGCGGCGCCGGCGCGGGGGCGGCCAGCCGGCCAGGTATGCTGTTGCTCGGTCGGCCTGGCGTTCCGGGAGCCGACTACGCGGTGGCTCGGCACCGGGCGGCGGCGGCGAACCTGTGCTGCCAACCGGCCGCCGGTCGCGGACTGCCGTGCGCCCTCAGGGTCGGCCACGGCCAGTATTGACCCGGCGGGGCACACAAAGGGCCGGCGAGTCCCCTCGCGGCGCGGCGCCGACCGCGTCCCCTATGAAGGGCGCTCGGCGCGGCGCGGCGGCGGCGACGGTAGCCGGCCGGTCGATACGCAAAAGTCAGCTGAGCTCCGGCCACGGGCGGCGCGCCTGTGCGATCGCCGCCGCCGCCGGGACGAGCGCGCAGACGAGCACCGTGTGCCTGTGTACTGTGCGCGCTGCGAGCGAGAGCCGCCGCGTGATCGAGGTGCAGGGAGTGTGCAGTGCACGGAGCGGCCCGTGGTCAGCCGAGGGACGAGGAGTCTGTACGCCCCCACCGCCGGCGATCGCCCCGCCCCCGTCCCCGCCCCCGGCCCGCCCGGTGCACGCCCACCGCCATTCATAGGTGAGGACCCGAAGGCCGTCACCGGTACCCAGTCCCGTCCTGGGAACAGAGTGACCTTGGTTGTGTGAGTGACAGCAAATAGGCGTTCACATTCAGAGGCGATTAGGTATTGTTAATGGTGGGTGCAACGACACATACATTATTCGAGGTTTGACGACACGTGATATTGCGACCCGATTAGACTTGGATTTCGTTCTACCGCATTCCCTGCGCTTTCAGGTTTTCTTACTGCTGTCACATAAGCATTTTTAAGCGCATTTTGTAATCCTTTGGTATGCATTAGCTCACATTGCTTTCTGTTGGATTTGGAGATGTGCATTGTATTTGTTGATACTTGATGTCTTCTGACATGAGCTGTATGACCGTGAAGGAGTTTGTGGCGATGCTACACAGTGAATGTTATGCTAGAGCTTGTGTCTGGCGTTGCCAAGCAGTGTGTTTGATCAAGTTGTTCTGTTCTGTGTTCGTGCTTACGGTCGCCAGTGTCATGGTCGGTGGATGACCTTGGAAATTGAATCGTTCTCAAACGGCCAGATGTACAGCGGCGTGATGCTTCACCCACTGGCCACTGGTGTAGACGATATGAACGCACCGAAAGCTCACTTTAGGATAGGTACCAATAGCGTCTTGCAGTCGCTCAATTATATGACCTACGCGAGTGACATGTTTTCGGCTGCGGTGCGCCGTCAGAATTGAGAGTTGCATGGATCTGATAAAATGGGTCAAGAATCTGATCTCACGGATCTTGTGGGTTATAAGATACGGAATCATGTCCACTGATTGTTTATTCAGAGGTAGCTTTCCATCAGGACGCCAATTCGGTGGGAGCAATTGCATAGGAACACCTTTGTTGACATGTTACCTCTCGATTGGCATGGTATCGGCAGTAGGTATGACCCGGAACGCTGTTGCCAAGTAGTTCGGGGTGCTTTCTGCAGCTCACTATTCGGAATAGCCGCAACACCGCGGGGTGGCATCAGAATATTCCTTGCAACTTCATTTCTTCACTTACTTCATTCCTTGATGCCACAATCGGCGTGGCGAAATTCCTCCAGGTTAATCGAGTTTTAGTCTTTTCAGCTCAGATGCATATTGCACATGCCACCGATACGTTGAAGCACTGGCTGAAAATATTGGTCCGTATTGGTCATCAACTTCACGATGTTTGCAATACAAAAGAGGTGGAGTGAATTGAAAAACGGGTACTTGTTTTACTTTTTTGTACAAGTGAACGGCCCATGCGTAAGATTTGACTGGCTAGTGACGTAAGCTTTGGCACGCGTTTCTCTAATCATTGGGTGGTTTTAGGGTTCGAGCTGTACGGTTTGCAGTGTACACATATTGGTATCACATCACTTGACATCAATTGTTATCATCATAACTGGTCTCTTATGGTCTGTAGTTGCTCCCATCCTCGCCCGCCGTTCTCAGGGACGGTGATTGAACGTACAGCCCACCGCTAAAGTAATGTGCGGTTTTACCAATCTCAATGGATGGGTTTGACTGGCGATTTTTTTAATGCGGATTGATCGAAAAGAAGACGTCAATGGATAAAGTTCCGGCTGCAATGGTGACGATACATGTAGCAGCATTTACAGTTTCATTGTAGTCTGGTTAATCGCCCCTATGCTTTAGAAGCACAACATACCCATGACTGAAACCGCACATTACTTTTGCTGTGGACTGTACATATATGACGTCCACTGTATGGACGCTGCGTACACTTTTCAGCTTCATGTGGTAGTACTTACTGCTTAGCCGGTCATTGACGTGCACCTCCATTGTTTTAAACAGTGTACTAAAATCGCCGTGTGTTCAGATGTGCTGGATTTCGTTACATTTATGTAACCGACTGGATGTTGAAACTGGGTATTTTCTGTGTGGGGGCACTCCGGTCGTCTTCTCTTTCCGATGTTTCCCCTACTGGCGATGTGGTTGTCTGATTAATTTAATTGGTCTTGGGCGCCGATGACCTCTGAGGTCTGGGTGCCCTGAAAACCCAATCATCGATCGATGGATCTCCTCTTAGGAAACTGTTAGGTAAAACACTGGCTGCAAACGTCAGACCAGTGACCGGAGCAGTGACCGGACAAACGGCAAACCACTGATTGATCCGTGACCTGGAGCAGTAGGAGTCCAGTGACAGGACCAGTGACCACCAGTGACCTGTGACCTGACACATCACTGCGCCGGTTAGGGAGCAGTGCCTAGAACCGACTTGAAGACATGCTGGACATATGCCAAACCAATGCCGGATTGTTGACCCGAAACAGCACCTTCACCGCGACCGATCACTGCTGCCGGCTTCATCGGGTACACGTGCACCCCTCACTCCCTCCGTCCGGGTACCGCCCTCCGGTACCGCCCTCCGTGTCCAGTGTCCACTCAAGGCGGCGCTGTGGGCAGTGGCAGTGGGAGGGGGCGCAGGGGAGGAGAGACTGGACGGGACGGCGACCATCGGTATCGATCGACCGCCATCGACCGTCACTGCACCCCTCCCCTGCCCCCTGCCCCCGGCGTGCCCGGAAACAGAGCCGTGAGCCGTACGGTGTCGGTCACCGCCGCGGCGGGGGGGGGGGGGGCGGTGCACGCCCACTGCCCTGGACTGGAGTGCGAGGATGGAGAAATGGGTGAAGTGGGGTAGTTTTGATGGCAATGACTGGAACAAAGATGGATCGTTGAATGATGAATTATTCTTGGGAGCCTTTGGTTGTTAGTGACCGTGACCATCGTTTTCTGTCTCCCTTTTTTCTGTATTTATTTCCCTTTTTACTAGTTCGTAGAAGTGATTTGAGGCAGAAGCAAAAGTAATTGTGAGCTTGTTACTACACACCTGCTCAAAACTCGAGTTTATTCATGTTCCCACCACAACATATGTAATATGTTGTGATGTGCTCCCTACCCCCCATATGCGTTCACTGATCACGTCTTGTGTCAATGTGGTGCGTCTTGGCCGGCCGGGCAGCTGACCTCACTGCCTCCTCGTCTGACCTCTGTGTGCGCGTGTCCCCGCAGGGCGGCTACCCGGCGCGCCTGAAAAAGGTGCTAATCGTGACGGCGCCCCTCTGGTTCCGGGCGCCGTTCAAAATCCTCCGTCTGTTCGTCAGAGAGAAGCTGCGCGACCGTGTGTGGACCGTCAGTCGTCCCCAGGTCAGTGGCGGAGGGGGCAGGGTTCAGAGGGTCAGAGGTCATTGGGGACACCTGGGCCTCGTTTCATAAGACGAGTCCGTAACTTACGCCGGTTTTTGGTCTTGTATTGCAAGTTCATGCGAAGCGATGGCGATGGTTTGAATAGTTAATTTAGTTATCTTGCAAGCAAGAACAGAAGGGATATAAGGGGAAATGAAATTATCGCTTCACATGCGCTTGCACAAGCCCAAAAACCGGCATAAGTTACGGACTCGCTTTATGAAACGAGGCCCTGGTGTCAGTGATGGGACACGTGAGGTCAGTGACGGGATGGGGTTACCTAGGGCCGATCTAGGCCACAGTTTGTGTTTTGATCAGTGGGGGTAGCAGCTAGAGGACAGTGAGGTCAAAGTCTGTGAGAAACTGTGGGCCAGCGAGGATCGCTGTGGGGAGGGCCGTACGGGTGAAAGCGTTCTGTTTGTAGGGTTGTGTCTGGGGGCATATGAGCGGACTATCCTACCTTCATGCTATTGATTTTGTAGCACGCTACATCTTGAACATTTAACGTAGTATCTTTTCGGCACGGCTCGGTACGGCAGTTCCCCCCCCTCGCAGTCCGGTCACAGGCCTAGCCCTCCATTCACACACCCGTCGCTGCTACCGGGTGACGCACAGCTGAGCGGAGCGCTGCTGCTGCGCTCTCCTCCCCTCTCATTATTCACTACCCCCCCCCCCCCCCGTCACCAGGCCCGCCATCCCCATTCAGCACTTTTCCCCAACTCCCTCAACGAGCACTGTCCGTGAGAATAGCCCGCAGTAGACACATCTGCGAGAAGACGATGCCGGTCACATCAGTACGAACCGCCGAGGCACAGCTGAGTCAACAAGCTACGTCAGAACTGCGGCCGGCGGCGGCGGCGAGCGAGCACGTTAAGGTACTCTGTCACTTGTCACGTACTCTGTCAGGTACCACAACAGCTGCGCCGCGCTGAGTCCCACGGAGGGAATGGCAAAACCAGAAAGATCCTACGGCAAGCAAAAACGCTGTAGTTCCAGAGGTCTTCGCAATGGGCAGCCGTTAAACTCTCATTACGACGCTCGCCTATGGAGACAGCTACCGCAGGATGAGCGATCCGAGCCTCCTCAAATAACGCTGGATCAGTAAGATATGTCAACAGATCATGGAGCAGTGTCAAGGATGGATGCCGGCTGGAGCACACAGCCTCCTTTGTCGGGCACAGCAACCCAGGGTGAGTGAACCTGGCAAAATAGCCGGGTGACCGACCTCACAATGGCCTCATGAGGTAGTTCCAGAGATCTCCGCAGAGGAAGAAGGCGCTGACTTACGGCCACGCCCCGGTACGGTGGGCGGAGCAAGAGTGACGTCACAGGGGCGTTGGCGGCAGACGAAACGGAAGGAAACAAAAGTTTGAATAAAATGAAATTGAAGAATCAAAATTAAAACTCGAAAATCACAAACCTTTCGTGGATTGTTTTATGTCAGCGATTACTAAAATGATAAAGCACTCAACACGAAGACGATTCGACGGCCAAAAATTGCAGGCACAGAGGAGCAAGGTGACTAAACAGGACAGAGGGCGCCATCTTACGGCCCCACCCACCAGAAGAAGGCAGAGGAAGATGACGTCGCAAGGGCGTGGCAGTCACCCCTCCCCCCCCCCCAACTATAAAAGGGTGCGCCACCCAACCAGAGGGAGAATCACAGTCGAGCAGCCGAGAGTCACAGTCTGCAGCCGGAGCCGGAGACGCCATCTGGAGGCCGCCGTCAGTCCGGGGTCACCCGCGAGAAGCCTCTTCAGTTCGAGTGATCAGAACCGAGGACAGTAGCCGACGCTTGTGACCACACTGAGAAGCGGAAGCGCAGAGAAACTCCAGAATGTGAGTGTTGTTGAAAAGTCTGCTCAATCCCAATCCTTGACCCCCCCCCCCTCTGCCCGGTTGCCGTGCCGTGACGACTGCCAAACATTTTCGGTTGCCATAAAATGCACTCTCAATTGGAATTGGAAAACTTAAATTACTTTGAGCTTATTGGTCCAGACACCCTAGTAGCATATTAGGATCTGAATTTCGAAGTCATGTCAGAGTCGCCAGCAAACCGTTATTGTCAGTTGGAGTTCACGATTAGGCCCAGAGCGAGAGGCTAAAATTTGAATAAGCAGCTCATGGTCACGAACGTTGAGATTGATGACTGGATGTGTGACAGCGTTGAAATGTCTTTGTCTTCGGTCAAGCTGGTTCGTTCGATTTATTATGGGCGATGGCCAGGTGCGTTTTGAGGTTGGAACGTTTGTGAAATTAAGGGTTTAGATTCGTGCTGTACTCACTAAAAGTTGCATTGCGAAATCATTGGTAATATTGCTGTAGGAATTAATTGCGAAGTCGAAATCAATTATAGAACAGGTAAATACGGTTGAAAGGGAATGTAATGTTTTAAGGTGGCGACTGATTCATGCGATCGATCTATGAATATGGCTATGAGTTATGATTTCCGACAGATACGAATGCTTGAGCTTACGGCGGAATTTCTTCTGTTACTTAGGTGCAGAGTTGCGAGCAGTGGTTTGAGGTTGACGGTTTGACACTTAGCGACTTTAGATGGTCACTTTGCGTCATTGAAATTGCGAAATGTCGAGTAACAGGTAGATGTAGAATTGTTTGTGGTTAGAACTAATATGCGACTAATATAGGTGCCGATCGTTGTGCTTTTGTAGAATAAATACTAGAAAGGACCACCTTTGTTGGGGAACGATTAAATGGGACAGGAATTTAATTTAAAAAAAAACTTACGTTGAATGGAGCTGATGAGATGTCGAACAGGGAGATATTGCAGCGATATTTTACCAGATTCACACTCACTGACACATCCGGTGAATCCACCCGGCCAGAAGAGACAACACGCACGAGCATTGCACCGCGAGTGATGACGCGCCCATCGCGGCGTGGCCTTGACTGACTGTCGACGCGACGCCAGCCGGCGGCCAGTATCGTCGCTCTCGACGCGGGCGTTGAGCCGCCAGAGGGCGTAAAAAGCAGCCACAACAGGGGCAGTGGGTTAGCCGTAATTGGGGCGCGGGCGGTAGGTGAAGGTCATTGTATATAGGAGCATGGTTAGTTGTGGAAAGTTGCAACGGGGTAAGAACGTAAACAGTTAATGCATAATTTTAAATATGACATGCTATTTGATATTTAGGACTGCACTTCGTTTGATGCGCATTGTTTACTGCTAATAGGATGATTTAAAATAGATTCCCTATGAAAGGCTAGGGACCCTATGACAATATTCTGGCACTCTATAAAGATAATTTGTTTAGGTAACTAGTAGCCCATCAGAAGCTATCGAACGAGTTTCAAGGAGTCATTTCCGTTTGAGCATTCAGCAATTCACTATGATACGGTGGATCACAACCAGACGACAGATCGGTGCGTACTAATTGGTTCTAGATTATCTGATGAAATCAAGAGCGGTTCAAGGTCTGCTAGGATTGTTTACGAGAACTGATGATTAGGTTCACGCGTGCAGCAGCAATTAGGACTTGAGATTACGATTAGATGCGTTTCTGTTATTCGCGTTCTTGAGAGTTAGCGCCAATAATTACTCCACCAATATTGGCACAGGGCATTGTGAGGCACAGACGGCTTGTTTGCCCGTCTCCTATGGCGTAGCGTTTACCAGCATGACCGTATGAGACACAGATGCACTTCTCTAAACCCACGTCCAGACCGGAATAATAAGAGGGACACGCCGTCACGTACGCAGGGCATATGCACGTTTTCCGCCAGTGGTACCGGCCACTGTTAATTTTCCCGCTTAGGTAACACTGGGTGAGAAGGCAGTGAGAGGTTTCTACGGCAGGGGGGGAAGGGGGAAGATTGGCACAGTGCAGTGGAGAGTAAGTTATGCCAAAGGCAAGAAGCCGAGGGTCAGGGGTGAGTCACCCAAAGGGCGAATAAAGCGAGCCGTAGTGTCCCGAATAAGTCCTCATACTTATTTTGTAAAGGTACCTTAATCAGTACTGGACAGCCTCAGGGGAGGGAAGAATGTACTCCAGGACACGTAAGGCCTTGAAGAGTAAATCCCATGGTTTAAGGAGAGTTCCTGAGGAGAGTTCCAGGATATGAACGGTGGTCCCTGGGTCGTGAACGGGAATGTTACACGCGGACCGGAAGAGGGCATAGGTAATCTCTCCCGGTAGAGAGATAAGTCGGATATAAATCGTGTATGTGTGTACCATAAGTCTATCGGACGTGAAGTGAATCCCATAAATTAGTAGGGTGGATATTTTTGTATAATTATTCTGGACGGCCCTGCGATAAGTATCTTTGTCGCCGGTTAGCGGAGCATGCATATGGATTTCGGAAAGAGACATTTATCTCGCCGGGGAGACCATGGTTTGTAAGACGCCTAACACTATCGGAGGGAATTTCGGGGGCTACCAATTAAATTTGGGTGAACACATGAAATGTGAACGTAATGCGAGCAAGGATGTGAGAATGATGACGCATGAATCTTAGAGTAAGGCCGATAGGAATTTGGTAGAATTCGGTTACGGCAGTCGAACAAATGATTCTCGAGGGCAACTGAAAACCAGCAACGCTAATACGAATTAAGTGGGCAATTTTCTTAATGGGGAGGCCAGTGATATAGGAATGGGTGACTGGACGAATGATCACATTCAATTTATCAATGTAATTACCACCCATATGTTTGGCAGTGGTCATCGGGACTTCGAAATGCCCTGTCCTTCACCTACCCAACTGTGCCGCAAACCTAGCTGATCGGATCCCTCCATCCTTAATCCGAGCAGTGAAGAACCATCTCGTGCATCATGGTCTATACAATGAACAGAATCATCAAGCCTCTAAATTAAAAAGCATCTTCCATCAGATGTATTTGTACGCAAGGTGGATACTTACATCTCTATCCGGTGGATCTCATCTATCTCAGGATCTCATCACTATCTGGATCTCTCACTAGATCTATCTCGGGATCTCTTCAACGA